TATGCAAGTAAGTAGGGTTGCTTCTAGGTCCTGGGACTCATGTGGGAAATTTGGGGGCAGAAGGGCCAAGAAACACAGGCCCAGGGACTGTAGGATAGCATTGGCAGACTTTTTATATACGAGTCTGGAGATGCAGTTTTAAGCTATATCCACACTGAAAGATGATGGGGGGTGGGAGATGTTGGACCTGGGGTCCTGATGCATGCTGACCTGACTCAAAGATTTGTGTGTGGACCGCAGGGCATAGTTTGGGCCGGAATCACAATTTAGTTTAGATTTACCCCTAGAGGTTCCATATACCACTACCAGTTCCCTGAGCTTCTATATACTGTCATCTATTTCCTGAGCTAGGCAGTCCCCTGAACTTTAGTTTTTAAATTATGTTTAGTTTTATATGTTACTTGCCAAATTTAACAATTAACCTGCACAACTTTGGTTTAAAATCAGGCAGCTGAGTTTTTACAAGCTTAGCAGTCAAGTTTACAGGACTGTTTAATTTTCTTTATGAGTTCTCATTAAAAGTCTCTATTCAGAAAGAATTAAAGTACTTCAGATTCAGTGGACCATGGAACAGATCCTCAATTATGGAAAAGTAACTTTGTTCCACTGTAGTGGCACAAGGCTTTCTTGAAACCAGTTACTCTGCCAAGGGTATGTATCCTGCTTGGGAAAATCCTTAGCTGGCATGGAGACCATAGCAGTTCCTATGATCATGATCCTCTCTAGAGCTGAGGAAACAAGGGAGCATTGCCAGGAGAATCCCTGTGCCCAAGGAATGCCTGGCTACCACAAGCACAACAGTAATGCCAGGAGATTCTAAAGGACTAGCCTAGTTCAAACCCAGGGTTAGTGGGCGAAGCATCCTTTACAACACTCTTTCCACCTCCTGCCTCTCACCTGTGGTCACACTCTCTTTGGCTGCATCCTAGTATCTGTGCCCATGTTTGGTTACTATATTTAAGAATTCTGTAAATATTTACACTAGTCTGACAGAGAAGATACGGATAAGCATTTCCAAAAGAGGAGCAAAGGGCCACATTCTGCTCCTTGATACCTCGCTGTAAACCCAGAGCAGCTCCATGGCTATAGTCTAATGTTTTGCTAGTGTAAACAGAGCAGAATTTGGCTTTATACCACTTCATTCTTCTACAGTCGTCTTCTTATCTGATGCAGAGCTTGCCAATCCAATTTGCGGCAGCCTCATCAGCTAAGTGCAGAGCCCTCAGACTACCTTCAACTCTGGTCGTAGAGCAGACATCAGTGATGCGTGACATTGTCTGACTTTGGTCACAGCTGCATGTCATGGCTGGCGGCACATTGACCCTGGCCCATTCGAAATTGGTTCAGCTGTCTGGCAAATTAAAGCTAGGTACACATATGGTCAGATCATTTATCAGAGATTGGTTTCTGTCCTCAGCAGCAGACCTTTCTTGATGCCACCTCACCATTGCAGAGAAATCTGGGCTGGGCAAGTGGGCCCACAATGGGCGCCCTGATGATAAGTGCACTCTTGGGTGGTCTAAGAGCTCTGTGTAGAGCGGTGGGCTCGTGTTTGCACTTATCTTCTGAACCATTCTGGCTGCAGCAGCAACATGATGGCTGCATGGAGGAGTGATGTTGCCTAGCACGGGGAGTCACAGCACTGGTGTGAATCTAATCATCCCAGGTCCGACATGCATGGATGAGTGTAGTTGTGTGTCAATTGACTTGCCATGAGATGAATTAAGCCAGACCAGAGCACAGTATTCTGCTGCAGAATAACAGAGGGTTAAACCAGATGATTGGAGAGTTTGAGCATTTGCTCCCCATGAAGTGCTGGCCAATTTCCTTAGCAGGTTATTATGTATTCTCACCTTACCCTCAGTTTTTCTCAAATGGTTAAGATATATGAAAGACCTACCTAGGGTTACTCTGAGGTAGTCTGGGTCAGGTTCAAGCGATGACCATTGAGAAAGATATTGGGCTGCTCTAGCATAGTAAAGATGGAACACATTCAAAACTGCCTTGGTCACACTTAGTTGTAAATGGCACTGATTACAGTATTCAGCCATCTTAATCAAGTCAGCATACAGGGTGTCTTCAAGTTTGGGGAATAACAGTGTGTGGATGCCTAAGCAAATGTCATCTGCACATGTGAACCTGCAGAACTGGATAAGCAGAAAGTCATTGGTGTACAGGCTGAAAAGCATTGGTGCCAGCACAGAGCCTTAGAGGAGACTGTTGGTTTGTTTTTTCCACATGCTAACCCTGTCTCCCATGTGCACTTGAAAATTTGTGTTGCAAAGGAAAAGGTCAGTGATGTTGACTACCCATGTTGGGAGTGCTCTTGACAATTTGACTAAGAGTCCCGTGTGCCAGACGGTGTCATATGCTGCTATTGTTGTGCACCCCATGAGTGCTCAGTTCTCATACCAGAGAAACTGGTGATCCAGCCAGCAGACTGCATTCAAAGTCCTTTCTAATGTTGAATCTCAATCACTTGCCAGCCAACATTCCTGATGCATTTCTGGCCCCGCAATGTTCAAGCCATCAGGCTAGCCCTGAGAATACTGCAGATCAGTGTTGAGGGATTGTCGGTAGCAGCATTATCAGGGATTCTTCTGCAGTTACTTGAGTATTCTCTAACATACACATTCTAGGAGGTGTGACAATGACTACTTTTAGTTAAAGTTGTACAACTTTTTCCATTTCAGTCACTCATAGCTTTTCTGAAACATTCACTTTTAGAACTGAATTTTTTCATGTGTGTTCTTTCCCCAAACATGATAAAAAAGCAGTTTTTCTTCATCCATTCTGAAGTAAAGGAAAGGGAAAAACAAACACTTTTATTAAAAAATCCTGCAATTTTTTTTTAAAGATAAATCAACAAAAGGGATAGCTCCAGTTTTTCCTCAAGCTCTCCTGGATTCACTTTAGTTCCATGAATTTTTTTGCATTAAAAAAAACTGGAAACCCCAAGTAAACTAAAGAGCCATCAAACTATGATGCCAACCCTGATAACTAGTAAAGTTTAATCTGAACACACACAAACAACTCAGTGGGTCTTGCTCAGCCCTGTTCTGTACCACAGACTGTCCCTAGTTTATAAGGGACACTGCTTTTTGGTTGATGGAGATGGTTTCTACTTCTGTTAGATACCTTCCAACCAAAATTCCCTATGCTACTTGCTATTATTTATATCATTCCTGGGTTCAAAATATTGCACATATTTTAACATTTGAAACTATTATTTCCCCCCGTCCCCCAAGATAAAATTACTTGAAATTGGAGTATGTTCTCCTACTTAACCTAAATCCCATAAGTCAGTGTCACAATAACTCTGTTATAGTGTTGGAGAGGAAAGGTACAGTTTTCTTTAGTTAGGTATCCCCAAATTCATTTAAAACTAATCGTCTCTTCTTAAATTAGACTACTACAATGACCTGTCTCCACGTAGCCACCTAGGGAGTAAGGCAATGTAAGGTCTGTCTATTTTAAAGCTTCATTTTACATAGTGTATTACGGCAACTTGGAGTAAGTTATGTTACATGAATTTATAATCTTTAACAAAGTTAATGAAAGCCTCAGAAAGAGTACCCTAATTAAAGAAAAAGTATTTATGGTATTTCCCTCATAGTGCATATTTAGCATAAGCAAGACTGATTAAGTAGGGATGTTACTTGCTTTCTCAGTATGTATCTTTACCATAGGCATATGCTGAAATCCAAATGATAGGTCAAATACACCAGTGAAGTTTTAATAAAAACAGATGCCTAAAAGTTCTTAGAGCAGCTACATCTGCCCGTAGTTTCACATGTGGAACATCTTCTCATTGCTTAGCAGCACATCACTCCCCCAGTTCCAAGAAACCAGGGGCCTCTTAAAACAAAGTTGAAAAAAGAATGGCTTGCTAGTCCGCTGGCAATATATCTGCATTTTTAAGCTAGCCTGGATATAGAGAAGAGCTTAGTTTTTGCTATGTGACTGACCCCTCTTAGCCAAGTTCATAGCAGTGTGAGCTATCAAAAATGACAGACTGTTGGCAAGCACTTGCATGATTTTGGGCCAGAATCTCTTCCAAGCCCAGCTGGAATCAATTAAGCTAAATAATAGTTCTTGCAAGAACTAGTTCCTACCACACTCTTCAGAAATTGCTTAGTGTTCAGATGTAAATACTGTTAAGTTCATACATTGCCTTTCCCTCCCCCATTCAAAAGAAACTGTGACAGAACTAAAACTCTGAGATTACCAAGGCAAGTTTATGGAGAGCCAACAAGTAAGACACAGGTGATATGGGTGGGTGAACACTTGTCTTCTGGATCAGCACTGTGAAATCCACTGTTCTATACACTAATATTTTAGACTCACTAATGCATGTATGCACCATTATAAGTGGAGGTGACATAACCCATATTTGGGTAATACATTTATATGACTAAATTCTTATCAAAATCTGGACTGCAAGACTAATATTTTGAGTAACTGACTAAGAAAACATTTACAGTGCTCTAACTTGGGAAGACTGGCAGGCTCAGGGAACGGGTAATAGGATATGGAGACCTTCCCTGCTAGATCATTGGTTCGGTGGTGACCTGGTAATGTAATATTATTATAATGATGCCTGTTCTTTGGGCATTATGAAAAATCAGTTTATGGTCTCATTTCTGAAATCAAAGAAAAATATTAATTAGTGTAATTCTTTTCTTGCTGGTGTGGGGAAAAGCAGAAGATGTCCATTTTATTATCAAACTATTTTGCACACCATAGCATAGGCACCTGCCACCCAAATGCCCCCTTGTAGCCAGGGGTTGCCTCTTCAGTGCCTCCCCCTCAGTTTCTCCCTCTTCAGAGCTCTTTATGAACTCACTCAATTCTCCATAGTTCAACCAGTCCCCTCTCGGAGTTCAATTTATTGAGTTCTCGGGTGCATACAGCTCCTATGGCTCCCAAGCCCAGTTCAATGTCTCTCTTAATTAATCCCAAATAATATAAAACACAAACTCACATATTTTCCAGCCTACCTGTTCTTCACAGTCTCTCTCCGGTTTGGCAGGGGTCTCTCCCAGGCCTCCCTGCCAGGAGAGCTCTCTCTCCCTCTCTGCTGCTGCTGCTTCTTCTTCTTCGGCATACCCCCTGTTTACTTAGAGCCCTGCAGAAGCTTTCTTGCTCCCTGCAGCATCTCCAAACATAACTCAATCTCCTGGCTTCCTCCTCTTACTGCACCTTCCTGCTTTCTTCATATGGGGATCAGCTGACTCAGCCCAGGTGTGGGCTCATCCTGAGATCAGGGCTGGCTTAGCCCCAGGCTCTCCAGTGCGCACACACACTTTTTCCACATAAAAATGTCTGGTTTTTTTTTTTTTTTTTTTTTTTGTTAGCTCAGTAGTCCAGTTCTTTGACTGGCATTCATGCTGAAGCTTTGCAAACAAACACACCAATTAGGAATATAGAGAAAATATGCAGGTTTGTTAAAACCTTGACAAGCACAAAATTTGGCCTTTCTAAGGCAAAGGGAAGACCATTTTCTCTCTAACAAAAATAAGGAAAATCCAGCTTTTGGACAGAATGTGGGATGCCTTTGGGTGATAGGTCTCCAAAGCCCAGAGTAACCCTAGCAAAGCCCTGGTTCTGCAAGGTACATAAGCACATGAATACTCCCCAGTGGGACAGTTCAGACGCTTAAAGTTAGGGATATGCTTAAATACCTTGTTGAATAGGAGCCCAAAATGTTAATTGCCCAGCCCCACTCTGGAACGTCATGGTATTCTGTAACTCCTTGAATAACAACTGTCTTTATTGACATTCTCTCCCAACTTCAAGGCCCCAGAACAGCCCAGCAAAACTTTTTGGAAATAATCAGTTTAAAAAAAAAGATCTGCAGACTAAGTTATTTGCCATTTTACACCTTTGCAATCCAATGGAGGATTCACAGCACTGGTAGGCTTTCACAGGTGTAACTGAGGGCATAATTTCAGATCCTAGGTTGAGTTGGCAGGATTGCACTTAGGAAAATAAACATCCTTTTACTTGTGAATGAATAAATTTGATCTAGAGTCACTGAGAAACAGACAAATGTCAAAGAATCCCACAATGCCCCCCCCCTCCCAAAAAATACTTTTCAGGGTAGAACCATGCTTTAAAATTTTCGTTATAGTAATGACAAGTCTTACCATTTGCATCCCACCCCCACCCCCCTGCCCCAGTTCTGCTGAGGCTGGGAGAAAAGTGCACATCATTCCCTCAGCATCTAGTAACGCTAACAGTGGACTGATAACACAAGAAGGCCCATATTACCTTTCCTCACAGACTCACCCCTGTGATGGGGATTTCCTTCATAGCAGGGATCGGCAGCCTTTGGCATGCGGCCTGCCAGGGTAAGACCGCTGGCGGGACGGGACGGTTTGTTTACCTGCCGCATCCGCAGGTTCGGCGGATCGCGACTCCCACTGGCTGCAGTTCACCGCTCCAGGCCAATGGGGGCTGCGGGAAGCAGCATGGGCAGAAGGATGTGCTGGCTGCCCTGGCGAGCCGCGTGCCAAAGGTTGCCGATCCCTGCGTTATAGGAAACTTGCTGGGGCCAGCTGCTTTCGGTACCATTCTACTGTAACTGCTCTAACAGGGAGACGGGAGTGTGTGTGCATAGAGGGACTATCATGAGGCAGGCCTGTAGTGCAGAACCATCCGCTGGCCAAGCAGGCACTGCAGGTGCTCTTTGCCTCAACGTCTTTCCCTCACCAAGGTTCTCCATCTCTCCTAGGGAGTCACATATCTCATCCCACTAGTTGAGTTCAGTCTCCTTTGGGCGGGGACGGGGGTAACAAAAGGCCAGACAAACAAAAGGTTCTTCTACCCTATTTGGGCTCCTCTTCAATGGTGCCTTCTAGGCTCAGTTCCTAGCCCCTTCTGGGCTCCTTTGAAGTCTCTCCACTCTGGCATAGAGCACTGACTCCCAGGCTACTTCCCCAGAGTCTTTCCAGGCCCTACTTCAGGACATTGCACAGGAACCCAGCTAGCTCCCTGTAGTTCTTCTACCAAACTGGGTTTTCTCTGCATTTTTTTTTAAATGAGGCCCAGGTATTTTCAGGCTGTCACCTGACCCCAGTTAGTGCAGCCCCCTTAAGCTGGGTGACAGCTAATTATGGCACAGGCAGGGCTGATTGATCCAGGCTGGCTAGTCCCAGGCTTGCTGACCTTTAAAGGGGAAGTCCACCCTGTTACAGGGACAAGGATACAGTCCAAGTTAATGGCTTTAACCTCCTGCTCTTTTCCCAGGATCCATGTAGCTCCCAGGGATGGGGGAGAGGAGGTAGTTGTAGGTGGGCTCTGCAGCCTCTTCCATGGGTGTCAAAGCCAAGGGCCAGACAAAACAGAGACAAACTGCCCTGGAGAGAGCCTCAGGAAGGTTTCCTTCCCTGTAGCCCACTCCTGTGGGTTTTACCATAGAAGGGTGTGATCAGGACCAATAATAATAAAAATACAGGCAGACATTCAACTGTAAGAACGCATTAACGGCTTGTGTACACATACAATTTGTACTGCTTTAATTATATAATAAAGTGATACAGCCCCTCTAGTGTGGACATAGGCCTATATAAAAATGCCTCTCCTGCTTCAGCTTATTCCTGTACAAGAAGGGAATAAGCCATTCTAGTATAATTATATTGATATATGTTTCATGGGCAGACCTTCTGTGGTTAAAAACAAACAAATTAAATGTAACATCCCTGACTGAAATAGTTCTATCAGCAAAACTTTCAAGTGTAGACCAGGCCATACACAGGTAATGTCACCCTACGCAAGGGGAATTACAGTTGGGCAGCTTCCCAGCTGTTGCACAAAGGGACCAGACCAGGAACCATGGAGCTTGCTCATTATTTTATATACCTCTATCATATCATCTCTATCCTCTGTAAACTAAGCAACCCTCATTTATTTATTTATTCTTAATAAGATTCTCACACCTCTGAACTGCTTCTGTTTTTGCTGTATCGTTTTTGAGAGAACATGACCAGAAGTGTACATAGTATTCTGGATGACATAGCATTTACTGAACTGTATAAAACTATTATGATATATTCAGCATTATTTTCTAGCCCACCCCTTACACATTCTAACACTTTTGGTTTCTGGTTGCCATTGCACACCAAGCACAGGTTTTCATTAGATTCAGTGATAGACAAGAAGCCAGGAAAAGAGGAGCATAAGGATAAAGAAAGTTAAGACTCAGCTTCAATATTTTAGATCCTCTAAGGATTATAGGGAAGTGATTAGGAAGGTCAAAAAATAGGCATTGCAACAGCTGAGACAGGAAGTGATTAAGCCAAGAATAAGGATTTCTGCAGACTCCATGTTAAAGAAAGGAAAAATTCTGGCAGTTTTCCTGACATGGCGATAAACAAACATATGGACAAATGTGATACGGGGAAAAATGTATACATTTACAGTTAAGAATAACTCCACTATTTCCAGGCATGTAAGCAATATAAGGGTCTGACCTGTGGATAATGAATTGCATATATGAGAGAAAAAGCATTTGTACGCAGATTACTTCAGTCTTTGAAGCATTCCTTAATAAGAAGTTACAGCACAGCAAGGAACTGTCAAGAGTGAAAGGACTAGTTTGTGCTGTCAGTAACATCAGTCTAAATCCATCATTCCATTAAATGTCATAGAGCTACTAGTGTAACTGAGAGCAGAAACTGGTTCAAGAAGGAAAAAAGGTGGGGGGGAGGAAGGAGGAGAAAGCAACCTAAGAGTTAATCAAGGCAGATGCAGAATTATTAAGTCATCCACACATATCCATTGTCAGTCTTGGCTATTGTATTGGTAAAGAGAAACGGGCCAAGGACAGACTCTGGCAAGGCATAATAAAGGTGGAGAGAGAGAAGAAGGGGAAGATGTAAAGTATCAACCATAAACAAAAGAGGAGCGGTTTGAGAGGTAATATTCAAAACCATAAGAGTGCAGTAGGCAAAAATGTTTGATCTAGATGCTCAGTAATGATTTACAGTATTAAAAACCTCACTGAGACAAAGTCGGATGTCAAGAAAGTAGGAGCTGTGATCAGAGTTAGGGAATAGGGCCTGGATCTAGAAAGGGGCTTAGACATTGCAAGACTCAACCTTGTGGCCGCTAACTTTAAGGGGCCTAGAACGATCACAGGAACAACATTCACAAATTCACTTGACTTAGGCATCAAGGGTCCTTGTAAAATGAATGGGGAGAGAAAGGCTCCTAGGTTTCTGTCTGTGATTAACACCACAATATACAAAGGGTTAGGCTAAGGAGTGTGGGAAGATTAGAGAGCACACCTCAAACTCAATTGATCCACTTCCATAAAAAAGGCGTGTGTGCACCCATGTGTGTGCACCTCCAGGGTAGGGCTCTTTATGATTCCAGAGCCTTCTTAGCAGGGCCGGCTCCAGCATTTCTGCCACCACAAGCAAAAAAAAAAAAAAAAAAGACCGCGATTGGCGGCGGCAGTTCGGTGGCAGGTCCTTCGCTCCTAGAGGGAGTGAGGGACCTGCCGCCCCCGAATTGCCGCACATGCTGCCCCTCTCCCTTGGCCGCCCCAAGCACTTGCTTGTTAAGCTGGTGCCTGGAACTGGCCCTGCTTCTTAGACCCTACCTGTATGTTCCTTTCAGTTTTTGTAATGGGCTTGAACCACTTTATATTTGCCTGGCTAAAACAAGGAAAAGGCTAGAGAACTTGCATTCATCTTAAATCAAAGCTGAGCCTCTCCTTGACATGGCCCAAAGTCTGACTACATTAACAAGGGGCTCACTCAAACCCCTCCAGCTTAGTTTAGCTAAACTTAGATGGTGTTGTCATCCCCTGGTCTTTACAGTATCTATATAAATAGAAAAAGGTTTAACAGAGGCACAAATGAGATTATAACTCACTTCATTTGCAAGCTCATACTAACTGAAGTAGCGGAAGTAATTAAAAGCACTTACACTTAAATACAGAACGCTGCAGGCAAGGATATGTTTAGAAAGCAGATAAAATAAAATCCATTTTAAACAGGAAATGATAAGCAAGGAAATCATTTTATAGATCCCTTAACATTTTATAAAGCAACATGAATTTTAGATTTCCGTGGGCTGTTACATTAAAATACTGCCTTATAAACTAAGTTTGCTGCTTAAATATTTTTTAAATTATGCAAACAAAAACATCACCTCATTTGTCAGTCTAATGAAGAAAGGTAAAAAAAGCAAAGGACACCCACAGTTTCCGAAATTAATCTATTTT